CGGCTGTACAGTAACAGTGGAAGTTAATATGAAGCCGTACAGTAACAATTTTTTTAAGAAAAATTGCACTACAAAAGGGAAAGCAACGTGTGCACTAGCTGGATGCTACTACCTACTAAAGCTCTTATTGATGTGTCAGTGTCAACCAGAGTATATTTATAAATGTTTATTATTTTAAACAAACTATTGTCTCTCATTCGTTTGTGTCATTTAAGGTAGACTGTATGCTTTGAATTCTCATTGGTAGTTTAAATACTACATTTTCATGTACGTATACACCGAGATTTCACAAAATGTTTGGTCATGGAAATTTGGTTTAAAGTCATGGAAATCCATTGGTCAAAATGTGTATGAACCCTGAGTACTGTTAAAATAAAAGTGCGCAATACACTACTTTTGAATTCATTATTGAACTTTGTGCATAACAATGCGATTAATCGCAAAAAATGATGCGATTTAAAAATATTAATCGTTGCCCAGCACTACATTTAATATAACTAGCAGGTCAGTGGAAATGCAGCTCAGCAAATGGAACAAAGCTACATTCTGTGATTTGGGACCAGCGGTGGGATACGTACACGTCATTCTTTTAAAACACGCTCTATTTTCATGCTCTTTTTTTGGCTTTCTGGTAGCTTATTTACATGCAAAGTAAATTCAAGGATTCAAGGATCATTTGTTGTCATTATGCAACACAGGGGTGCACAACAATATTTTGCTACACAAGAAAAACATGAAACATAGTCCTGCAGGTCTGGCTGGTTGGTCGGCCGTGGGCGGTGATCGCCTCAAGGGCTGCAGCACTTCCTCCTTCCAACGCGTCCTCTTCCAACGCTTCCTCTTCCAATGCTGATGAAGTAATTCTGTCCTTTGCAATTAGTGCTCCAATAATAAACTGCAAAAAATGACAAATTAAAACAAAAAAAAAGAAGCAAAATTCATGGGAGCTACCGGCACACGTTACACTTAATATCATGAATTACCTGCTGGGGTCCTGTTTGATAGTATGCTGCTGGGTGGTATGACCAAACATGTGTATCACGGTATTCTTTAAGATTCTGGCGGTTTCACGGTATTATTTTTTTTCCTTGACTGTGTTTTTCTATATGTTTATAGAGGCTTACTCTACTGTCAGGAGTACATAGAATATAAAACATGTTAATGTCATCATGTATGAAGGCTTTGCTTACTATAGGGTGTGCTCGCTTCTTCCTATAATGTTGGGATAGCAGTTTGGCTGAAGTAGTGTCGCCCCGGTCAGACACTGCGATCAAGTCAGCAGACACTCAGATCTCCGTGGTCAACTCAGCAGACACTTAAATTGTAGTGCACATATACGCTGAAACTTACGGTAAATAAAAAACGGCACAGATCGGGAGCGAGCGAAGAACTTTGCAAAGTTAGAGGAAAGATTAACGTGAGACAACTTCCGGTTTTCTACAGACGAACATCCGGTTCTCAGAATAAGATGCCAACAAAGTATACATATTGCATAATGAAATGAGATTAAATTAATTATATTCACATTAAGTATAAAACATGCTACCTGCATCTCCTGAGTTAAAGGGAAAATACACCTAAATTGTGCGTAAAG